AAAAATATTGATTTCCAGATTTTAATCGATTCTCATTTTTATGAAACAATATTGATTCTTAAATCCCAAGAATTGACTAGTCTAGCCTGTTTTCAGCTAATGGGACAGAACATTGTAGCGCACCTCCCATCAAATAAATCGCAATAAGCTTTGTGCTTTGTTAGACAAGGTCTCAGATTTCAAATTCTGTCCATTGTATTACAGTATTCAAACAATAAATGCCATTTTGGCATTGTTTAATGTGAGTGACAGATCGCTGTAGAGTCTCAGTTCAAGAGAAGCAATGGTGCGAAGCGCACGTGAACTGATCGCTTCCGCTTTAATACCAGTTTCAGCACGAAATAAACATAAATAAACATCCGAAGGTAAGTTAAAAGAAAGAGTACAACTTACCGAAATCCATATCCATGTAATCAGTGTTTCAACCACGCCAAGAAATCTAAATAACAGCTTGTAAACAATGTCACGTAACGTCACATTTACCTCAGAAAAAAATAACATATTCTGTGACCATTAACTCATTAGTCCACTAGAAAAAATGAACTCTAGAGAGGAGCATTTCGGTAAATATATGCACCATATAACATTAATTATAATTTTTTGCTGTTCTTCAATGTTTAATTTATGTTTGTATAAATCCATCAAGTTTTTATGCAGTCACCATTTAAATGTTTATATTAAAAAAACTAACTGGAGTAGAAATATTATGTAATTGTCACTTTATAGTTAAAAAATTTAATTAAGTGTAATTTAAGTGGTTGCATACAAATAAGTTAATTTTAACCTTCAATATATTACAGTAATGTATTACCAATTGTCTCTCATGTACAGTATATTTTACAGCATTAGTTGAGATTTGTTGATGTACTGTACCTGATATGTATCCAAAATAATCGATATTGAATCTAATCGAATCAAATCACAAGCTTGTGAATGAGAATTTAATTGAATTCAATCGAATTGAATTGTGAAATTCAATCAAATCTTGTACCACAGAACAGACCCAGTAAAGTATGTCAGACAGTGGTAGTCTGTGGAAACCTTCACATCCAAACACTCAAAGCTGATGGTAATTGCACCTAGAAAATTGCCAAACTGGTTACATTCCTAACAATCCCTTAATCAGGTATTAATTCAGTTAAAGGGATAGTTCACCCAAAAATGAAAATTCTGTCATTAATTGCTCATGTGTCGTGGTACTCTTGTGAATGATCGTGGACTGACCCAGAAAAGAAGAAATCGTTGAACAAAGTCATTATTTTTGTTTTCTTTGTGCACAAAAAGTATTCTCGTAGCTTTGTAAAATTAAGGTTGAACCACTGATGACACGTGGACTATTTTAAAGATGTCCTTACTACGTTTCTGGGCCTTGACCATGGTAGTTCCCTTGCTGTCTACAGAGGGTCAGAAAGCTCTTGGATTCCATCAAAAATATCTTAATTTGTGTTCAGAAGATGAACGAAGGTCTCACGGGTTTAGAACGTCATGAGGGTGAGTAATTAATGACAGAATTTTAATTTTGGTGTGAACTACAGGTGCATCTCAATAAATTAGAATGTCGTGGAAAAGTTCATTTATTTCAGTAATTCAACTCAAATTGTGAAACTCGTGTATTAAATAAATTCAATGCACACGGACTGAAGTAGTTGAAGTCTTTGGTTCTTTTAATTGTGATGATTCTCTATGGGGTTCAGGTCTGGTGAGTTTGCTGGCCAGTCAAGCACACCAACACTATGGTAATTTAACCAACTTTTGGTGCTTTTGGCAGTGTGGGCAGGTGCCAAATCCTGTTGGAAAATCAAGTCAGCATCTTCAAAAAGCTGGTCAGCAGAAGGAAGCATGAAGTAGCTTTGTAAAATTAAGGTTGAACCACTGATGACACGTGGACTATTTTAAAGATGTCCTTACTACGTTTCTGGGCCTTGACCATGGTAGTTCCCTTGCTGTCTACAGAGGGTCAGAAAGCTCTTGGATTCCATCAAAAATATCTTAATTTGTGTTCAGAAGATGAACGAAGGTCTCACGTATTGCCCAGCACTAGTACCGGTGCTACCGAGTACCCAGTCAACCCGGTTCTTGATGCGCTATCCAAAAGGTGCGCAGATGCGCTCTCTTCATAAAAGCACTGAGACATGGCGACCTCAAAAGGAGGAAACACATCAAACTAACAAACACTTTAAAAACCGACACCCGGATCAAATGAAAGAGTTCAAGCAGGTAAGTTTATTTTATTTTTAATATTTCGATCTTCTGTTATGAATATTATTCCATATTTTAATTTGAATGTCCGTTTGCGTAGTTAGCATAAGCGCGGATAACGCTAATATAATGAGTATTAGAATTAAGTTTCTTTATTAAAGGGGTCATAGGATGCTACATGCACTTTTACAAGTTGTTTGAACTGAAATGTGTGTTGGCAGTGTGTGTACACAACCACTATAATGCTAAAAATCCACCCAGTGTTTTTTTTTTTTAATCTGGTTAAATGTTTTCCCCTTTCTCAAATCGAGCCAATCTCAGATGCCTGTCTGTGTGACGTCACACAGTTTATACACAGTTTGGATTAAATTAAAGTACAGTCAAATTGTATCTCCTGTATAGACTATCTAACATCAACTTACAGAGAGTGAACAATATATTTTTACAACATTAATGTTTTAGAATGTTATTCCATACAAACACTTGATCATTCATGTTTGTTCATTGTGCATTAAATAATTTTAAAAGATTGAACTTCTGATTTTATGTATTAGTAAATTTAGAAATTAACCCTAAGAATAATAATTGCTATATAACTATTGTTTATTGATAGGTCATGTTATCTAACAAATGAAATCTTATTGTACAGTGTTTTTAATACTACAGTTTCCATCTATTTGATATACACTTGACTTAAAATATATGTAATCTTATCTCAATTTATTATAAAAGGTGAGGTTTGTTATTTACTAAAAAGTTATATTATTGCTGGTGCCAATGATCTAATGTTGCATTTGGTCAGACTCAGCCCATTGCTTTACTTAAGTTTATTATATTTTCCTTTTACAGCTGCAGGCTGAGGAAGATCATGAAACACACCAGCAAACCCTAAAACAGACAACAGTTTACAGTTGTTTTTCGGCGGCAGCAGAAATGTGACAAACTTTTGGCTGAAACTTGTTTACTTTTTTTCCTTGCGGAAAAACTTGAAACAATTTTAAATAAGTATAAAGAATGGCATTGGCATTTTATATTTTGACTTTATTAATAAAAATAATGTTTTTTTTCATTAGTATGTTTTTGTGTTTTGCTTTGGTACCGAGAACCGTGGATTTTCACTGGTATTGGTACCGAATACAGAAAGTTTGGTACCATGACAACACTACTTTGAAGTTTAAAATTCAGTCAAATTCACTAGACTCCAGAAACTTAGACAATCAAAAGAAAAATCCCATATATACTGCATGTAAAAAATAAGTAATTCTGTTAATAACTACTTAACTTAAAATATGTAATCAACCACCTCTGTGTCATCGGCTACAACAAAGACCATTTCTGACCCATGAAAAATCCTGCCTATAAAATAACTGACAGTACCCAGCACTACTTTGTATTTAACTGCATTGACATCCCAACATTTCATGCAACAATGTGTCATTAGTAGACAAGGGTAGACAGAATGCAAGGTGTCAAGGACAAGCAGAGGAAAAATAAAACAGAAAGATATAGCACTCAAGACGCTGTGTCACTGTCTCACTTTCACTATCTCATCTCCAGCTTTGTCTAGATTTAGTGCTGTTTTCCTCGCTTTGACACAGAATATATGCCACATGAAAAAAGGGTATGAGAATGGCATGCATGTAAATTGTGTTTTGTTACAACTGCCTGGAGAAATTCAGATGACGCATCTCTTGAAATTAATTACCTCTACTGCAGCCTCATCTAGCCTCAAAACATCCAACTATTATGTCAGGGGTTGATAACCCTCTTGAAACTAAGTTCCATTTTTAATTTGTCTTGTTAATCAATGTGTCAAATCTACAAAAAAAGCAAAAAAAAACAAAAAGCAACAAAAATCTGACTAAACTTCAAAGGTGCATTCACAAGTAGCATTGCACAACTGTTACTTTATGTACCTTATATGTAATAATTTACATAATATTTATATTATTATAATATTATTTGTTTTATTATTAAACATAAATAAATGTTTTTTTTCTAATTCTTTATATATATATATATATATATATATATATATATACAGTATATGCAGTATAACTTTCTTATATAATGCATGCTATTTTAATTTATTCTTTAAATGTTTCCTCAAATAAGTTTCGGACATTAGGTCAAAATACTTAAACTAAGAAACATGACTAAAGGTCCTTGCAAACTTAGTTTGAAATTTTCGTATGTGTTTTTCCATTTTTCTCCTATTCGTCATCTTTTCCTATCAAAATGCTTGGTACGGATGCGAAAACGCAGAAAAACGAACCTGGTCCGAATTTTTTTATGACAGACGAAAGTTTCGGAGGCAATGTGTACTTGATTGACACAGATGCATGTGACCATATCTAAAGACAAAGTAAAAGCTTAAAATAGCAACAAAAAGCTCAAATTTGAACTTTAACATCATGCATTAATTACTCAACATCCGTTAAAAGGTACAGAACTGTCACATTAAGTATTACATGTGCACCGCCAGTCTGAAATGATGATTCTGCAGATTGAAGATGCCGAGTATGACAACGCCAAATGCAACATTATTTATAAATATACCTGAAAATGGACATAATGTTCTGGATGGTCCCAGTTCAGAGTATCCTTGACTTAAGACAGTGAGACGCACGCGCTTATGTTAAGCCTTTTCCCCATCACATTACACATCTGGAATTCAAGCTTGCTGAAATTCATCAAGTTACACTTATACAGAATAGATGTTTACATGTTCGGATTTGCACATATATCCTATTTCGCTCTTGGAGAGCACCGTTAATTAAGTTTAAAGAGTACTCACTCACCTTAATGTTCGCACGCAGATGCAGACAGTCTCGCGTCCTGTCCGAGCTCAACTCAACCCGGGAGAAATCTTGACCGAGCATTCCCAAAATTTCCACCAGCACCATCCAGCGCCGCAGCCAATTCAAGAAGATCTCGCGATAACGAGGTTCTCTACATATGCAGATCTCGCGATAACGGGTTTCCCTCCAGACCAATCTGCTACCATCTGCTGGAGCTAGTTGGTACTGCACGTCAGAATGCCATTACGTAACCGGTTTTGGTTTTGTGTACTCTCTTAAAAATAAAGGTGCTTCAAAATGTTCTTCAAGCGATGCCATAGAAGAACCATTTTTGGTTCCACAAAGAACCATTCAGTCAAAGGTTCTTTAAAGAACCATCTCTTTCTTACCTTTTTGTAATCTGAAGAACCTTTTTTCACCACAAAGAACCTTTTGTGAAACAGAAAGGTTCTTCAGATGTTAAAGGTTCTTTATGGAACCATTTAGACAAAAAGGTTCTTCTATGGCATCGTGAAGCACCTTTATTTTTAAGAGTGTAGGGAGGCGTGAATTCTGAATAATGCATCTGAGCGTGTTCGCAGTCTAACATTGTGTCATAATCACACAAAAAGCAAACAAAAGAGTGGCTGATGGTCTATAACTGGCACTTTCCATGAACTGAGTAGATGTAGGTCTTTAAAAACTTTAAAAACTAAGTACATTTTGTACATTTTCAGCAAAGTATCAGTCGAAGGACGTGCTTGACGTTGAGAAAAAAATATATTTGTCCACCTCTGGACAGGTTAAACATACAATAAAGTTAAAGGATATATCTTCTGTTTTATTATTAAATACAATTACTGTTGTCATTCCAAACAACTGTTGCACATTTAGCCTATTAAAGCTATCACTCATTTATTATTATATGATTTTAAATGTTAAATACAGTAAAAAAAAAAAAAGAGAAAGAAAAACCTAAATGGTAGCACAAGCAAACATCACAATTTTTCAGTTTAAATTAAATTAGGCTAACTTTTCATGCTTTGGTAATTTTAGCAAAAAGTTATTTAATATAAAGGTATTTTTTATGTAGGCTATTTGTTTATTTTTGAGTAATGTAACATCATTTAAAGTCTATTTGTGGAAAAATCCAGTTCTTAAGAATGTAAGGACCAGCTGCCGAACAAAGATGAAAAATTTTATTAGTAGCATACATACACAGAGAGATTGCTTCCTTATATAAGAAACCAGACCATATTCTGATTAGGGATACATTTTTATTTTAGTGCTTTCTTTAGTGCATTTTTGCCTATTATTTAGTTTGTGTGTATATGTCTATCATAAATACCAGTGCAGTCAATTAGGCATAATGTGTCTGGTAACTTATGAACTAGCTAATCACAACATGCAGTGATGGGTTTCCAAAGAAAACAGCACACAAAACAATGGGAGAAAAGGCAAAGATTATTCCATTCTCTTGCAAATATGAATCAGTCATAGTTTTTGGGGGTGAGTGCATAAGGTCCCTGTTTGCTGGTCTGTGTATGTGCTTACGCATGTGTACTTGGTCTTCATGTTAGTAAAGTACAATAATATGTATGTTGTTTTTTGTATATATTTATACATTTCTGTGATGTTTACATATGATGGGCAGGTTTCTTAGAGGTCATCAGTCTCTCCATCAAAGGGGATGTTTTCCAGCTCCATGTGGATGTGGCTGTGCTCCTCATTGCACGTCCAACCGATCGGAGTGCGATTGAAAGAAGGCCGACAGCAAATGTTATACTGCAACACAGACACTGGCTGCGGCTCCTCATCGGTTACCTTGATCTCTGGTTGCTCAAAGGTGATAAGACGAGAGGCCTTCTCAAATCCTCCAAAGGGTAGAGCAGTTCTTTTGGATATAAAGAACAAGAAGATGATCAGGTAAAGAGTAACTGTTCCACTATTTATTTATTTTTTGGCTCATCAGTTGGGATTTTGAAAAAATGATATTAGTACCTGTTGAAACTCTTGTACTTGGGAAGTTCCTTGTGAACTTGAGGCCCTGGCATTTTCAACTTCATAGTTTCTTTAAGCTCCTCATCATCTTTCATAGCACGTTCCCATGGTGATACATATGTTTTTACATACTCGCGCCGTCTCTTTTCCTTCTCTGCCTCAGCATTTACTTCCTCTACTATAGAAGAACAGAAAAAAAAAAATAATCTTTCCATGCTGTAGCAAATATTGCATAAACTCATCTAAGGTGAGATCTACCTTGAGGTGGCTCTGGTTTGGGAGAGGGTTCAGGTGGGGCAGTCATTTCACATCCCAGAGAAGGAGCCAGATTCTCAAGGTTTAGCTACAAAGGCATGAGAAACAAATAAAAGATCATTCTGTTATACTGTATACTGTTTGTTTAACATTGTTTAAACTTGCATGTAGTTAGCAGAGTATTAAGAGAAAATGTGAATTCTCTTTCTTCTCAACAATTCTCTCAAAAATGTCTTTTATTTATATGACAAGCAGCCATGCAATAAGGTATAATGGTGTTAATTATTCCAAAACAAATCCTTTCAGCTTTTTAGAAGACTGCGTGTTGGATCCTGATATCACACTATAAACCTCTCTTTCCTATAAAAGCTTTTGCTTTTCTCATGCCTCTTTTGCTGACCAGGTTCTCATCACTGACGATGAATTTCTCCACCCTCTGCTGTCTCATCTTGAACATTTTGGAGCCCTTGTTCTTCATGAGGGACAGCTCCTCCAACATTACATCTTTAGGGGTTTTGATTTTGGTCCCCAAGTCCAGTTCAGCAGCTTCGGCATCCTCATCTTGCTGGTCTGGTCAAGATCAGTGTTGTTGGGAAGGAAAAAGGAGAATTCAATCAGAATCAACACAATCGTTAAAATGACTTTGAAATATTAATAGAATTGACAGCACGAAACATTTCCTAGTGTCAAAAAGAAGCTTTTTTTTTTTTTTTGAAAAAGGGGTCTTATCTATTATGTATAGAAGACCTGTACTCTTTCAGTTTAATTATATTCCTTCTCAACTTTAATATCAGCTATTAAACCTGGAGTCAAGCCACATCCGACACCAAAGAGAAGGATGCTGTGCTGAGCACTGCTTGCATTACCTTGTTAATCAGATCCTTGGCCCAGCTTCAGCAGTATGTGTGTGAGAGTGTGTGTTTGTGAGCGAGCTTTGGGAATTGCGAAAAATAAAGAACAAGGCAGTATGCACATTCAGAGATTTTGAATCTTATTTATAAGTTATACAGAGCAAATTGAGGGCCATGGTTAAGCTTTTAACAGCTGTGCAATTATTCAGACAAACAGCAATGTTGTTTTCAAATAAATAGTTCAGTAATTAAAAACTAAATATTGACTAGCTTACAGTTTAGTCACATTATTGTTAGTTACTGTTTACTTTTGCTCCACCATTGAAAAAATTTCCAACTAGAGTCAAAGAAAAATCAACTTGTGTGTCTCAGAGCAACACAATAATCAATGAATGAGTGTTGTTAAACAATATGGTTAAATTAATGATTCAATGACTCACACAGAAAGACAGTGACTGCATCTCAGAAGGTATTACTTTTGAATAAGTAATTACTTTGTGACTGTTAAAAAGTATATTCTATGTAGTATAAATAGTATTGAATAAGGGGTGGGCGATATACCTGCACAATTGACCAGTAGAAATATATCAACTGGTAAAGATTTTTGACTACCCTGTTGAAAAAACCAGCATATGCTGGTTAGGTATGTTTTGAAGAATGGCTGCTGGTTTGAGCTGGTTTGAGCTGGTTTAAGCTGGTCGTGTGCTGGTCCTAAGCTGGTCCTAAGCAACTAGCTCCTGCTCAGGACCAGCTTAGGACAAGCACATGACCAGCACTTGACCCCCTTAAACCAGCTCAAACTAGCAGCCATGCTTCAAAATATACCTAACCAGCATATGCTGGTTTTTTCAACAGGGTATTGTCTCTATTGTAGTTACACACTCACATGACGTTGCTATGCTACGTGGTCATGAAAACCTATGGTTTCCACACGTTTTTAAACAATGCAATTTAAAAATAAGTGACTTTAAGCCACTGAAATGTAATAAGCTGTGAAAGATAATTTATTTTGCTATATGTGTGCACTGTCTGAGAGACTGTTTCTTAGCGCTGTCAGAGAGGTACGTGCATGTGAAGATGGTGCATATAGAACATAGAAGTATTGAATTATTTTTGCCTCTTTATATATTTGAATGGTTAAAAACACAAACTTGTATGTGTCAGAAGAATGCCCATCTTTGCAAGTATCCTCATAAACACAGTAATTTAGGTCTTAGGTGAAAGCAAACAGCTGAGAAAGAAAACACATGTGTAACAGCATATTGGATCTGGCAGCTCTTAAAGTGACAGCAGTCTAATATTCTTGCTTTGTGTCATTCATGTTAATCAAACAACAAAAGAGAAAACTGTTTGTAACTTAAGAAGAAATATATATTTAATTTACACAGTGAAGAATATGCAGTGCTTTTATACATTTGATTACGTTGTACAATGTATGTATCATTTCTTATTTATTTGTTCTAATGTAGTTTTTTGTCGTATTGCTTGTAATTAGTTTCTTAATCTTATTTAATAGCTGACTGTTTACTTGTCTTCAGTGAGCTTGGTTTTGTTTTGTGACATTGACACTGGTCACAATAATTATGAAATTTCTATCGTTTCAAAAATGTTTATATCATAAAGACCATATTCAAAACAAAAATAACTATATTGTGATATATATCGTTACCGTGAAATAAAACAACTCATATCGTGATATACTGTAAGATTTTGGTCATATCGTCCACCACTATATAGAATGAATGAGATCCGAATGTATGGATATACATTGTCATGTGATTTACAGCGTCAGTTGTGTTGCTTTACTGCCATTCACAACTCTTCTCCTTTGGCATTATAGGATAGTAAAATGTCCATCTGGGTTTTTCCTTTTACTACAAATTCAGACATTCTACTCTTTTTACACATTGTTCTTGTATGCATATTCAGATGTGGCATATAAATCTGTTATAAAATACCGTTTCTACAAACTATTTTTCGCCTACAATATAGTAGATATGTAG